ATAAGTTAGGTGGAAGGTGTGCTGTGTAGCACAAAATACCACGTTGGCCGCACATGAGCTACTGAACAATTAATTAGTTGGATTCGTTTCTAATTCACCACTAGTACGATACCTCTGTAGTATACAAGTGTTTAATAAAATATTAAATTTAAAACAAAAAATGAAGGAAAAAATTGTATATATTTGGTTGAAGTTAGAAAAAATAAATAAGGAATAATATATAACGATTTATAATATATAATTTTATTCATATAATTCTTTAGAAAAAAAAAAAACACACATAAGAGAAGAATATGAACAAAATATAAATTTGAAAAGTGAAAGATAATAAATAGATTTATATGAAGTAGTTTAAATATATTCAATATGTATATTTTATGGAAATCCAAACCTAAACTATTTGGTATAAAAAATAGTAATTTTTATTCGAGTCATATTACAAAGCGTAATATTTTGTTACATAATATTGCGAAATATGCGAAGCTTGTTCTCAGAGCGTTATTTAATTATATACAAAGGGGAGATTAAATGATGTTTAGACCATAAGGTTCAAAATGATAATAAGACAAACTTGAACAATACCTACTAGGAAGAGCAAACCTATATATAACAAGATCTTTATTCATTTTACAAAAATATTAGCAATTTTTTCGGTCAAATTAACTAACCAACCAAATAGGTACCAAATTATGTGTAGCATGTAGGTACAACAATGTTGACAAACTAGGTGAGATCTATCTGGCTGGCAATACAATATTCAATAAAACTGTTGCTCAACCCGTCCACCGTCCATTAATTGTTTTATATAAATCTGGTCATAAAAAATATTTTATATTTGTGATCAGATTCATCTTTTCTTAATTTCCGAGTCTCTTCACCCCACTTTTATTTAATTCCCAGAATTTCATCTGACCTTAAACAAGAATTTTTTTGGATCATTTAATTCTTTTATGAATTTTGTCACGTGATATGTCTAAGTGCCCATTGACATTTCTATAGTTTTATGCATTTTCTTGTAGGATCTCCTTACATTATACATATATGTAATAATGTTCCAATGAAATACTACTCTCCTTACATGTACATATAGGTATATAATATTGATCTAATGATTTCCTTACATGAAAAGTTTTACCATATGAAATTATCATATATTTCTATGCTATCGAGCATGAAAAATGAGTGGTTTGTGAATGTGTTCACATACAAACCAAAGATAATGAAAAAATATACAAGCAAATTAGGCGGTTCATCTACAAAATTCCATTTATTTGCTAATTTATGAAGTGTTTAATTGTAAACTAATTTTTACGTTTAATGATTATTTTGTGATTTATTTTTATCATTAATTTTACGTTGCATTAATTTTTTTATTTCCGATATCTATATGGTTTTAGTTTGAATTTTATATTTTCTATAAGTTATTAAAAACATTATAAATCTGTAAAAGGTCCAAATATGAACGTGTGTTCTGTGTGTTGAATTGATAGATGCATGTTATTTGGGCTCCCTTCATGTTATGAACTAACCCTCTAATAAAATAAAGGCCCAAAAATAGCATGAAGCCATACAATGATTAGACCAATTTAATTTGATTATTGGGCTACTCAAAATGAGGAATAGGAGGCTGTATTGATTAGCTGCTCTTGAGCATGATGTACAATACGCAATAATGGATAAAATATGGATCCTCCAACATAGCTGGGCCTAAATATCGGACCAATAAGGCTAGAAAGAATCAAGAATACAGCTCAATCAACCTACTCTTAGGTCGATCAGGCTTCAAAGAATCAAAGCCTAGTAGATGACCATTACCTAGAAGGTAGATCCAAATGTAAATCATAACCCAAATTCCATTTAAATAAAGGACACAAAATGTGCGTCATCACATGGTTGAAAGTAATTATGCATATACATGCACATCTATGTCTCTAAGTACAGTTGTTAATCGAATCGAGTTGTTTGCGAATACAAATCGTAAAAGTTTGAGTTCGGCTTGTTCATTTATTTAAACAAGTCAAGCTCTAGAAACTAATTAAGCTCGTACTTGAACAATTCAATTATTTTATTATTATTTTTATAGATTTCGAACAAACAATTGAGTTAAATTTGTGAACGCACATATCGTGTTCCTAAACCACTCGTCCATGATTTTATGTTACGTAAATGACCTGAGTCGAACCTTTACAAGCTTGAATAAGCTAAACTCGAGTCAAGCCATCTCACTTATTAGACGAACACGAGTCAAATATAAAATGTTCGGCTCGACTCGGCTCGAATATCTCATGTGCTACAAATTATATGTGTAAACATGCAAATTATATGTGTAAACATGCATGTGTGTATGTAAGTGTCATGTTACATAAGCCTCTTTAAGCATAGATGGGGGACCATAGATTCTATAGACAAAGGACAATGCATGATACAAGGTTCATGATGCATGTCCAATAAAGGGGTGCCCCCATCTCAATCAACTTGAGTTTTCACATAGATTTATACTCTCTCTTTCTCATTCTTTTTTTTTTTTCTTTTTCTTTTTTTTACCTTTTTACATTTTCTTATAAGTGGGCCACAAATATTGATGATTGATGACATTCACCTAAAGTGGCCACCCACTCCCAATCACACCAGCACATGTTATTGGTGGGGAAGGTTAAGTGGAGTCAAATTCCTACTGAAAAAGGATGTGTGTGTCTGAGAGAGAGAGAGAGAGTAAGAAAAGGATGGGATTTATGAATAATCTATCTGTTTTAGTTCTATGACCACTGTTGAAATATGCTTCATTATTTTTTATATTATCAAATGCTTGATTGTTGCTAATCTCAAGTTAAGCCTAAGATGTAATTTCCACTACATAAAGATGGCAGCAAACCTTTTTATTGGAGGCCCAACAGAAATCAATTAAAGGGTTTCCACCTGTGCAGCTTCGATAATTTCATCATCGAATTAACACACATTATGTGAAAAATATGGTGACTGTGCTCTACTGTAGTACTACTGTCACCTGTAGGGTGAAATCTACCCAATTAAAACATGTTCACTTAATGAGATATTATTATTGAGATTTGTTAATATTTACGAATAGCTCACTGTTCCAGAATTGAAATTTGTTAATGGAAATAAAAATTGCATATTTTTAATTTTCGCAAATTCAAAATTGTCAATTTTCATCAATAGGTAAAATCNCTTATATAAATAAAGCACAAATATTTTGGAAAAGACACAATCTCATAAAACTTAAGCATAAATATTTTGGATCTTAAGTTATATAAGATTGGTCAATAAAAAATATGATCCTATTTCAAATGGTTTGGATTTGATTGGTGTGTCTTGGCAACACATTTATAAAGATCCAAAATTTGTTATATCTTCAAGGAATAATTTTGCTAGACATATGAAGTATAAACTTAATGCCCATAGATTTTTTATGAATTCGATTTTACTCACATTTAATTTTTACGGTTGGATCAACATATACATACAAGTATACGTTCAAACGTCTGATAAGAGTATAAGACAAAGTGTGTACGGTGCACACTACAAAAAAAAAAATTATATTCCAACGGAAAATCCTATGGTAATATATTCCAATGGAAATTCCAACGGATATTCCAATGGTATAGCTTCCGTTGGAATCATTCCAACGGAAATTCCAACGAAAATATTGCGTTGGAATGTATTTTTTATTGAAATTTTAGATGGAATTTGATGATTCAAACAGCTATATTTCCAACGGCTTTTGACCGTAGGAATTTCCGTTGGAATATGTAATTTCCGTTGGAATTTTTATTTCCATCGCCGTTGGAAAATCTACCGTTGGAATCGTCAAAATCCAACGAAAATTTCAATGGAAAACTCATTCAAACGGAATATTTTTGTTAAAATTTCCGTTGGAATAATTCCAACAAAAATAATAACATTAAAATATACATTGAAATTGTCGTTGGAATTCTATTGGAATATAATTCCATTGAAATTTCATCATTTTCTTATAGTGACAAAAAAGGTCAAATTCTCCGATTTTTCTTTGTAACAATTTTTCATGATAAATAACGATCTCTTTTAGTTGAATCTGTAGATATTTAAAGCAATTAGCCACAAAAGCAAAAGGGGAAAAAATAAGAAGGGCGATGAAAATGATCATTGGGTCTTTTGAATATGTTAAAATAAAAAAATTGTTGCCAACATCATCATCAGGAAAGCCATGCATAGACCGATTTTTCTGCAAATATCACGCCTTAAGACTCCCCTCAATTATTCCAAACTCATCATCACTAATCATTTCCAAGGCTACCAATCAGAGCAAACTCATAATAGGAAGAGCACTCACAATGCTTTGGGTCTCTTAACAAAAAATCACATGCCATATGAGAAATAGACTTAATTTATAAAAAAATACTTACCAATGCAATTAAAAGTGGATATGGTCTAGCTTATGTGGCAATAAAAAAAGAGACCAAGTCCACACTTGTATCTATTTTGGACCCAAGTACAAACCCAAATACTCATCATTTGTTCTTAATTTAATTTTTTTTAATGAATAAAATATATTAGAGCATTTCTATTGGTTGGCATGTATGCTAGACCTAGTCTTTTTATTTTTGCAGTGCAAAGTTTTTGAGTTTGTTTATTTGGGTTTGTCCATGTCATTTAAGACCCAAGTCCAATTATATGTCACATATACAAAAAGAGACCCAAATCATTATGGATGCTCTAAGAAGATATACCAAGAATCAATCTCTATAATTACAAACTGAGAAAAAAAGATAAAAAGAAAAATAAATTCTATCATTATGCTCTCATCTCATCAATCATCATCATTATATATCTTTCAATTTCTTCATTTCTCCCCCAAAAATTCCTTTTTTTCTCATAAAATTTCTTCAATAAAAAAATATTCAATTGCGCCAATAACATAATATGATAAATTTTAAAAACTTATATAAATAATGTCAAAAAAATCCATTAATAGATAAATATAAATATCTTGTCTCTCACTGGTCCCAAATCCTGAAACCAGTTAAAAACTTAAAACCTAAAACATTGGACCCTTCGTCGTCCACATTTTTCGTTGTCCACGAAAAAATAGTAATTAATAATTATAAATTATAATATTCGGTCTTCCTGTATTTCCTCTGTGCGTTCCTTTGTTCTCCAGCATTTATGCTGTGTGAACTTTTGTTCATTTCTACGAAGATTGCTGCTTTTCTACCTTTCTAACAACCCACCTCTTAATGTGCTGATTTTCTCATTTCCATTTAGTATCTTTTTCCTTTCAAAATTGCATTTTTCTTTTTAAGCTAAAAAATGTTCGAATTTTACCGGACCTTTTCCATATCTGTGCTGATTTTTGTGTTTGTTTGTTGATCACCATTTTCTTGAGAGCACACTCATGCTCTTTCAAGTGAAGAATAAGTGCTTTACTTTCAAATATCCCCTTTTCTTTTTCAAAAATCTTGATTTAACTTTCATGGGCCGTTTTGAAAATGTGAAGCTTTTTTTTGGTTCACCTTTGCTGCAAATCCCAAGAGTCTCTGTTCATCAAACACCTTGAGCTGCAACCCATGTGCTTTTTCAGCAAATTACACCTAAATTTGGAAAAACTTGAAAAAAAAAAGATGCCATTTTTTGGTTTGTTCAGTATTTTGCTTTTTGGGCTGCTCTCAAGGTCCCAACTTGTGATGACCCAAATGCTAGATAGTGATCAGGGGCTCATATTGCTTCAAATTCAGACAGAATTTCATGTTTCTAAATGGAGCGCTCAAAACACCTCGGATTTTTGCATCCAGCCAGGCATTTCTTGCAATAACTCATTAGTTGAGTCTCTTGATCTCTCTAACCAGGGCTTGCGAGGCAATTTAACCTTAATCTCACAGCTCAAATCCTTAAAATCTCTCGACCTCTCGTTCAACAATTTCAATGGCTTTATCCCACCAGCTCTCGCCGAGCTGTCCGAACTCGAGTTTCTTGATTTGTCGTTCAACAATTTCGACGGCCCAATTCCTTCCGAGTTCTCAAGGCTCAAAAATCTCAGAGCTTTGCACCTTTCCAGTAACTTCCTCACTGGTGATATACCGAAAGAGCTCGATAGCTTGAAAAAGCTAGAATCTTTGCACCTTTTCACAAACAGGCTAAATGGCACAATCCCTTCATGGGTTGCCAACTTGACCGGCCTGAGAATTTTCACTGCCTACGAAAATGACTTGACTGGCTTCATCCCTGATGAGTTGGGCTTGCACAATGAGCTTCAGCTGTTGAACCTTCACTCAAATGAGTTAGAAGGCCCAATTCCTGAAAGCATTTTCTCTATGCAGAAGCTAGAGACTTTGGTCCTGACACAGAACAGATTAAGCGGCTACATTCCTAAATCGATCGGCAAATGCAAAACCTTGTCGAGTGTCCGAATCGGTAATAACAACCTAAGTGGGCTCATTCCTAGAGAGATTGGTGACATCAGCAGCCTAACGTATTTCGAGGCGAATGAAAACGGCCTTTATGGAGAGATCGTGCCAGAATTTTCCAAATGCACAAACCTCACCCTCCTGAATTTGGCCTCAAACCGGTTTAATGGGACTGTGCCTCTGGAGTTTGGCTTGTTGAGTAATCTGCAAGAGTTAATTCTTTCTGATAATGACCTGTTTGGAGAAATGCCTTTGTCCATTCTTAGAGTGAGAAGTCTGAATAAGCTCGATTTAAGCTATAACCAATTCAACGGCACTATACCAGCCAGCATCTGCAATGCGTCTCGGTTGTTGCAGTTCTTGCTTTTAGAGCACAACTCCTTGGAAGGCGAAATCCCGCACGAGATTGGTAACTGCACGAAACTGCTGGAATTGCAACTGGGGAGTAATCGTTTGAGCGGGAGCATCCCGCCCGAGATCGGCCACATAAAAAACCTGCAGATTGCTTTGAATTTGAGCTCTAACCATCTAAACGGGCAGCTGCCCGAAGAGTTGGGCAGGCTGGACAAGCTTGTTGCTTTAGACGTGTCAGGCAATCGGCTTACCGGGAATATACCGAGTGCTTTCCGGGGTATGCTGAGTTTGATCGAGGTAAATTTCTCAAACAACCAATTTTCCGGGCCCATACCCTTGTTCGTCCCGTTTCAGAAGAGCCCGAACTCGAGCTTTATCGGGAATAAAGCTCTATGTGGCGAGCCTTTGACCGTTCCTTGTGGAAATTCGGACGATTTTAATAGTGGTTCTTATTCTTACCACCATAAGGTATCTTACAAGATTGTGTTGACTGTGATCGGTTCAGGTTTAGCTGTGTTTGCATCTGTGAGTGTAGTTGTTTTGCTGTTCATGATGAGAGAGAAACAGGAGAAAGCTGCAAAAGAGGCTAAAATGGCTGAAGAGGAAATTAACGAGGACCCGAAAATAATAGCCGGAAATGTTTTTATCGAGAGCCTTAAGCAGGCGATCGATTTTGAGGCCGTTGCCAAAGCTACAATGAAGGAGTCGAGTAAATTGAGTGTCGGCACTTTTAGCGTCGTTTATAAGGCAGATATGCCGTCTGGGGTGATTTTATCGGTTCGAAAACTGAAATCGATGGTTCATAAAACCGTACTTAACCACCAAAGCAAGATGATTAGAGAGGTGGAGAAGCTGAGCAAGCTTCGTCACGATAACTTGATGAGGCCGATCGGTTTTGTTCTGTTCGAGGAGGATGTTGTGCTCTTGTTGCATCAGTATTATCCAAATGGGACCCTGGCCCAGTTTCTCCATGGGCCGGGTGAAAAGCCCGATTACAAGCCCGACTGGCCCGTGAGGCTTGCGATTGCTATTGGTGTAGCTGAAGGCCTGGCTTTTCTACACAATGTGGCGATTATCCATCTCGATATCTCGTCGGGCAATGTGGTTTTGGACTCGAGTTTTAATCCTTTATTGGGTGAAGTCGAGGTCTCGAAGCTTCTAGACCCTTCTAGAGGAACTGCGAGTATAAGCGCGGTAGCTGGTTCGTTCGGATATATCCCTCCAGGTAGATAGATTTTTTTTTTGTTCATCTCATTTTTATATTTTTTAACCCCTCTGTATTAAACTTGGGCTCATTTG